AGAGAGAGAGAGAGAGAGAGAGAGAGAGAGAGAGAGAGAGAGAGAGAGAGAGAGAGAGAGAGAGAGAGAGAGAGAGAGGGAGGGAGGGAGGAAGGAAACTAGGCAAGCGTATGGGCAGGCGACAAGGCGCATGGAAGAGTGGCTGTATGGTAGCATGTCACAAGTGCAGTGTGCGGGCAGCAGCGACGCAAGCAGGCAGGCATGTGGCAAGGCAAGGAATACCACGACGATGCAGGCAGGCAGTAAGATGAGCAACAGGTCAAAAGAGTTCAATCTCGGGAAATCAGCCAGCATGGTGAAAAGGCAGCCAGGCGACCCGGTTGGATGTAAGGAAAGAAGATAGGTAACAAGGCAAGCACACAGGCGGGAAGTACGGCAAGCAGCAAGAGACCAAGTCATGAGGCAGGCGCACAGGCCGGCAGCAAAGCGGGAAGCATGTGGTGAGGCGGTGCATCACAAGGTGCAGAGGTGAGGAAGCGCCAAGACGGCCAGCAAAGCAAAATGGCCCTAATGAAAACAGGCAGGCGGTCATCAAGTCAAGCAGCAAGGCAATACGGTGCACGGCAGGCAGGCAGGCAGGCGAGCAGGCTGGCGGCAAGGTGAGCAGAAAGAGCTAGTTATGGTTTCGTTCGTGCGCAGGTGAGGCGATGCATCACAAGGTGCACAGGTGAGGCAGCGCCAAGAGGACCAGCAAAGCAAAATTGCTTTAAGGAAAACAGGCAGGCGGTCATCAAGTCAAGCAGCAAGGCAATACGGCGCACGGCAGGCAGGCAGATAGGCAGGCTGGCGGCAAGGCGAGCAGAAAGAGCTGGTTATGGTTTCGTTGGTGCGCCAGTGCACTAATGTGTGAATGATGTTTGGTTTGTGTGCCTTTGGCCACACCGTTTGAATCTCTGAGGTCTTCCGCCATGGGCTACAGACTTGTGTGTCGCTTGTGCGGTTACGCACTCGAATGGTATGTTGGTTTTGGGTGCGGTTCTGGTTTTGTGCGCTTGCGCACACACTTATGTGTGAATGGGGTTCTGGTTTGTGCTTGTGTTTGTTCTTTGCGGACTGCGTGGACATTGTTTTCTGTTCGTCGCAGGAATCTAGCTTAACGACTATCAAGTCGGACAAAGGTATGCCGGTGTGCTGTGTGCAATTCCCAACGGAGTCCTCGAACACGATTGCATTTGGTGCCGCCAACTACAAAGTGTACTGCTATGATTTACGTAATATCAGGGCGCCATTGTCGGTTCTAAGCGGGCATCAGAAGGCTGTTAGCTACGTTAGGTATCTTGATTCGCACACAATTATCTCTGCATCTACGGACAATACGCTTAAGCAATGGGACATGAGACGACCGGCATCCGAGGCCTGTGTTCTGACGTACACTGGGCACTACAATGAGAAGGTAAGAGGTGTTTTTTGGGAAGTCCTATTTTTCTTTGAAAACCAGTCCGGCGACAAGAGGATCTGAACTTTCTCTCCCCTAGAATGAAATGGATCTGGAAAACAAACAAACAAACGAGGGGCTGCCCGGGAACCTCCCCGGCCACTGCCCAGCCCGGGCCGCCCTGGAGGGTACCCAGGCGACCCTCCCCCAGCCAGGCCGCCTGGGGACAGTTCTTTTATTATTTAATATTTAATTTATTTTAATAAAAAACTTAAAAAAGGCTTTTTTTCAACTGGACGGTCTGTAGAAGCCTAGAAGGAAAGTACAAAATCTTTTAAATACAATCAATGTCAATTATATTGTTTTTCAACTTTTTCTAATTTTTGTTTTTGGGTGTGAGTTTGGCGTCCGGACTGGTCTGGTTTCCGGGTCCGGTGTATCATATCACGGAAATTGTGATAATCCACCTTAACCCCGGTTACGCCTAAGCATCAACGATTGGAATTGAAAATCCATATATATGCCAGAAGGAAGAAAAACGGTAAAGTCCACACGTAAGCAGATTCAGCATTCAGTCCTTGTGCAGGGTATCCGTTATCATGTCCTTCCTGCCATTCGTGGAGTGACTAGTCCAGCAATGCTCATCGTATGCGGGGAAAACAGTGGAGGATTTTTTATTTTTTTTTCCCCTTCCTTTTTTTTTCTTTTTCTTTTTTTTAAAATAATTTGGACCATTTCTCGATATGTTAAATATTTCACTAAATCCATAAATCCGATGTGTCAAGCATATTTGTATGTATCGGATTGTGTGATTTGTATCCCCATTATCCCCGATAGTTGGAATCGTATTTAGTACGAGTAAGCTTCACACCTCGCGGTGCTGTACTTGTTCATCTGTGTCGGTTTGGGGTACGGTTCAACCCATTTATCTTGAATTACTACGACGTTCTTATTTTATGTGATTTATGTGTGTCATCCTTGCGCAGGGGCCATGCTTATCTTCTTTCTCTCATTCCAATTTTAAACCGATGTCCCAAAGGACTCCTTTTTCTTTTCTATCTCAAAGTTTATTTCTTGTTTTCTTTCTTCTTCTTCTTCTTCTTTCTTCTTCTTCTTCTTCTTCTTCTTTTTCCTGACTCCTTTTTCTTTCTCTTTTTGTCAGTTTGTCAAAATATTTAGGGTTTTGCTTCTCGTGCCCTGTCCTGTTTGTTTAGTTCAGTTCAAACTTCAAATCCTTTTGTGTGTGCCCTCCCTCGCCCCACCTTGAGTGTCCTTTTCTATTTTTGTCTCTTGTTTTTCGACTCCATTTCACTAATGTTGTTAAGCCGATGTTATGCCCATTGCGCATTCTGTGCATGTGTTTGCTCCTGTATGCGAAGAATTTCGTCGGGTTGGCGGTGGTGGATGGCTACATCGCTTGCGGCTCAGAAACGAATGCGGTAAGTGTTTCAAATGTTCCCGTGAATAAAGTGTACGATCATTATGCCTGTATTTGGGGCAACTTCAAGTCTAAATACAGCGAGTCCAGATACAGAGATGATGATCGTACGTTATGCTCGCCATGGTCTCGGTATACTCTCTGATCATACGTTGTGGTCGCAATGGTCTCTGTATACTCCTGTTGGGAACACATGCGCACCCCGTTATATCTCACCACCATGCTCCCCCGGAATAGAATGTACGCATTGTAGGGTCATTATGCCTGTATTTGGGGCTGTTCCCCCAAATACAATGTACGCATTGTACGGTCAGTATGCCTGTACTTGGGGCAACTTCAAGTCTAAATAGAGGGAGTCTAGATACAAAGATTATGATCGTATGTTGTGTTCAGGTGAAGATGGTAGGCCATGCGGACCCACCTCATGTCACTAAACCGTCCTGCGTGCAACTTTTGAGAAATGACCACATGATGAAACTCCCTTAAACCACCAGTGCGTTGTATTCGAATAGAACGCCCGGGCGTTACATTGGAAAGTGCCATGGGCAGAGTGCCTTGTAGAGGGAGTATACATGGGTTTTAAACGAGGAAAAGCGGGGTATACATGGGTTTTAAAGGGGGTTGAAAGGGGTTTTGAGTCTTTTGACATCCAAAGGGTATGCTACTATGCGTTGGTTTGATTTTTTGTTTTCTTTTTTTAATTTCCGAATTTATAAGGAATTCTAAAGTGACCCTCAGCCAAAAGTTGGTTGCATTGCAATTCTATAGATATATATATATCGTCAATATATGGGTTCAGCCTCCTGATGAGTCGGTGAAACTCCGACGAAACAGTTTGTCACAGCCCCTCGTTTGTTGTCCTCTTCTCCCTCTCTGCCTACGGTTTACCGGGCAGTTCTATTTGACGATATATATATATATATATATCGTCATATATATAAACTCCGACGAAACAGTTTGTCACAGCCCCTCGTTTGTTGTCCTCTTCTCCCTCTCTGCCTACGGTTTACCGGGCAGTTCTATTTGACGATATATGTATATATGAGAAATTTAATGGTTTCAATCTGCCCTTGTTTTTTCTTTTTGTTTTTCTTTTTATTTTTATTTTTGCATGTTATCACTGTGCCCGTTTTTTGCTTTTATTCTTTGTTCCGCAAAGTGCGCTCTTTTAGTTTGTAGTGATGTGACAATATATATATATTCGTTTGTTGTCCTCTTCTCTCTCTCTGCCTACGGTTTACCGGGCAGTTATATATATATATATCGTCACAGCCCCTCGTTTGTTGTCCTCTTCTCTCTCTCTGCCTACGGTTTACCGGGCAGTTCTGTTAATGACGATATATATCGTCACAAACAGAACTGCCCGGTAAACCGTAGGCAGAGAGAGAGAAGAGGACAACAAACGAGGGGCTGTGATATGTAAACTGAATGATTTCAATGTGTCTTTGTTTTTGATTTTTATCCTTTGATTCAGTGTAAATACTTTTTGTAAAACACTGAAAGAAATAATAATACTTTGAAACAAAGTGTCATTCTGGTTTGTCTGTCTCTTTGCCTGTCTGTCCTTTCATTTTTCTTTTCTTTGCTCGTCTTATTTCTTCTTCTACTTCACGTGCTCATGCTCTTAGTCAATAGTTCTGTGACAATATACAACTTCATCAACGTGGCGAGCCTTGTACGTTAGAGGCACAGTGGAGGAGGCGTTAAGAAGACTGAGAAACTGAATGATTTCAATGTGTCTTTGTTTCTGATTTTTATCCTTTGATTCAGTGTAAATATTTTTTGTAAAACACTGAAAGAAATAATAATACTGTGAAACAAAGTGTCATTCTGGTTTGTCTGTCTCTTTGCCTGTCTGTCCTTCCATTTTTCTTTCTTTGCTCATCTTATTTCTTCTTCTACTTCACGTGCTCATGCTCTTAGTCAATAGTTCTGTGACAATATATATGTTGGGGGGGGGAGGGGGTGTTGCCTTTTACTGAAGTTGCCACCGATTTACCAAATATAAAGCCTGGGTGTTATAAGCGAATATAACGCCCGCCCCCCGGGCGTTCTGTTCATATGCAACGCCCGGGCATTACTTTCGGGCGAAGATGGTAGTCTTGCTCTGTTTTCACGTCGACTTTAAGAAAAAGCAGCAGCACACAGGAAGGAGGAGGGTGGGAGAAAGGGGAGGAGGAAGGAAGATCGGGAGCCATAAATCGCATCGAGTTCAAGGAAAAACAGCAGCTCACAGGGAGGAGGGCGACGTAGGGCGGGGGAGGAGGGAAGATCCAGAACCATCAGCACTAATCTTATTCTTATTTTCATGGAAAGTTCAGAAAACTGAATTGGAAAAAGAAGGAAAAACGTGTAGTGGGATGAAGGGGAGAAGGACTAGAAGAAACCACGACCGTGAAGTCTGCAATGCTGATCGTATTCTTGTTCTCATGTCGAAGTGAAAGAGAAAACTGACCGCTTTCATGCCTATAGAAAAACAAAAGTAAACGAAACAAAACTGACTTGAGAAAAAGAGTAAGTCATAGGAGGAAGGAGGGCATTGTCAGTGTAGTCACACTAGCACTTTATTGAAGTTTATTACTTGTTGGAAGTTGTTTCAAGTTATTTGCAGTTATTGTCTGAGAGCAGCTGGACGGAATTGTGGCCAGATGCATACAGGTGTGGCCGTAATTGCGGTCTGATGTGCGTATGCCGTTAAAAGAGCTGATTGTCTACTTGGTTGGTTGCTGGGTTTGGGATTTACGTGGCTGTTTTTTGTGGTCTGGCCGGAATCAGGTTTATGCGTATCAGCGGTCTCTGCCCGTTCCGATGGCGTCGCACATGTTCCAAGGGATCGATCCTGTGACTGGTCAGGAGACGGAGGATGATGCAGGCCAGTTTGTGAGTAGTGTATGCTGGGGTGACCGAACTCAGACGCTCATTGCCGCGAACTCTGTGGGGAACATCAAGATTCTTGAGCTTGTGTAGTTTGCTGTATGAGGAGAGAGATGCGTATTAGAATCGGATGCTGAAATGCTGGTTGGCGTAAACCTTTGTCCTTGCTCAGCGGGGACACGTTTGGAATTGGGATGTTTGTCCATTTTGGTCGAGTTTTATGCTTGCTTGTTTAGTGAAATTTCAATGCGCCCCGCGACCGTTATGCCCGAGAGAACCAATTCCGGATCCGTGTGTACGTTTGGATGATATGTCCGATGCTTCTGCTGAGATCTTGCTCTCCAAGCCCTTTTGCCCATCTACCTCATCTTGAAAGCTGTCATTTTTGTCGAAGCACGGAGCGGAGCTACTACCAGTTTCAGCGTTCATTGACGACCGGCTCTCTCTGGCTGTGCTTTTCCTATTTCACGAGTTTGGAAGTGCGATCAGCACTACCACGAATGACTTGACGCTCTGTAAGGAGGCGCCCAAGTGACGAGTGAAGTTTAACCCGGCAGTACATTTACCACGAGGCACTCACTGGCAGTACATACGGTCACCAGAAGGCTAACCATAGTTACCACGGTGGCTAACCATAGTTACCACGGTGGCTAACCGTACTTACCGCGGTAATTACCGTCCCTGGTCATGCATTTTCCATTGTTACGAATAGCTGGACGCCACTTCACCAATGTCTGTCTGTATTCTGTGAAGCAGCAGGGCTGTTTCATCCACTCTATGTCACGCCAGTTCAGTTGAATTTACTGATGTTCCATAAAGGTAGCAGAGAGGCTATTTTTGACTTCTGCATGGGCGACAACAAGCAGGAGGGGGGGGGTAGGGGATTAGCAAGATAAGCCGGGGCCGGGCTGTGACTGGTCCGTGAGGTGGATGTGGCTGTGTAGTGCGATGAGGTCCTGACCTGTGATCTGGAAAGCGTCACTGTGTGAGAAGGGCTGTGTGTTTGCTACTTATCACCACCTGGTGATAGCGATTGCTCGTCTGGCAGTTATGGGATATTACCCCGGCCGACTTACGGCTGGCCACGAGGTAGCCAGCATGCCGCAAGCCATCAACATAGAGTCAGGTGCTTGGGCCCATCTCTGTCGAACGGCCTGGGATGGTCTCACTGTCAGCATTAACGCGTGGCTTAATATGAGTAGTCGTGGTTTGATTTGCACTCTGCTCTGAACAAGGAGGGCTCACAGACGGACGGGCTTTTAGCATTTCTGGACCTCCTTTAAGAATGCCGATGGGAGTGCGTGCATGGTGGCTTCATATGAGTCGTGGGTTGATTTGCGCTCTGCTGTGAACAAGGAGGGCTTGCAGACGGGCTTTTAGCATGTCTGGAGTTCCTTTAAGCATGCCGATGGGAGTGTGTGCATCGTGAAATTGCCACAGCCCTGCGGCCATGCGTGCATCGTGAAATTGCCACAGCCCTGCGGCCAGATTCTGCAGACGACCAAGATCGGCAAAACCAGTAGGCTGTGGAGCGATAGAAGACCACTGGATTGCGGACGCCACTTTACCAATCACTGGTGTTGACGAAAAAGATCGGAAACCACGGGATTCGGTGAAAATATATAGCGCTGTCGAAGAAGGGGGTGGTTTGCTGACGAAGGGAAAAAAAGCACGCCAGCAGAACGAGTTGTTGGTTGTTGAGCGCGAGATGATCGAACCGGAGTGGGTCAGTGAGCAGCCATAGCGTGGACCATGATTTCGACCTCCAGATTGACCAGAGTTAGAACAGTTTGACTGGTGGCTAGTGAAGTTGTGAAGGCTATGGCCGTCGTCCGTTGGGCCGAGAGGTGGAACGGACCGGTGTGGTCGTTCAGCGCCGGAGGAATGAACTGTCAGCGGGTTGGATTGGTGAGCAGCGAGAAAGGAACCATAGCTGGGATCACCAGAGAGGAGGGAACAATAGACGGCGACGAGAGAAATGAACTATGGTCAGCACGATCAGCTCGACTGCAAATTACTTTATGCTGTGTAAGGAGATGCTGTGTGACGAGTGAAGTTTTAACCCGGCAGTGCATTGCCATCAGAGTTACCATAGTAACGATCACCGCAAGGCTAACCATAGTTACGACGTGTGGGCGAGTTTTTACCAGAACAGGACACAGCATGCGAATGAAGAAGAGTATCCTGCGCGCGGGAGTTGATTGGGAAGGAACACACGTGGATGGAACAGACAGGAGTGGAGTGGACCGCATTGCAACGGTGACCAGCCAGAGATTGGGCCATCAGCAGGGCATGGACCGGACCCATGACGAGGTGGACGGCGAGGAATAAACTATGGCTTTGGCTGGGTGGATGAGAGAAAAGAGGGCCAAGGTATGGATTGCCCAGGTGACGAGAGAGAGAGAGAGAGAGAGAGAGAGAGAGAGAGAGCCATATCGGTTTGTATTAAAGCGACGAGTCAAGAGTGGCTTTCAAGGTGTGGAGGGAGAGGACAGTAATGAACAATGACGAGAGAGAGAGAGAGAGAGAGAGAGAGAGAGAGAGAGAGAGACATA